CCCCCCCCCCCCCCCCCCCCCCCGGCTTTGTCCCCTGAGATGACTGTAATGATCTGACTTCTTCTCCTTCCTCTTTGCTGTATCTGAGGCTAGGTCTATACTACCCGCCTGAATCGGCGGGTAGAAATCGATCGCCCGGGGATCGAATTATCGCGTCTCGTCGGGACGCGACAATCGATCCCCGAATCGACGCTCTTACTCCACCAGCGGAGGTGGGAGTAAGCGCCGTCGACTGGGAGCCGCGGAGGTCGATTTTGCCGCCGTCCTCACAGCGGGGTAAGTCGGCTCCGATACGTCGAATTCAGCTACGCTATTCGCGTAGCTGAATTTGCGTATCTTAAATCGACCCCCCCCTGTACTGAAGACCTGCCCTAAGTTGAGCATGGGGCTTGCCAGTCCTAGAGGGTGTTTCTGCAGCCTCTGATGCACTTCCCTTCTCCTCAGTCTTGAAGTAGCCAGGTTCCTCCCCTTCGCCCTCCCAAACCTATGGCATATTCTGACCTTTTGTACACATTGTTTCTCCCGGTCTATTTATAGGGGGTGGAAATGTCAGATGCGGGTTCGGGGGGGGCCTCTCTGATTTTGCCTTTAAAAATCCAAAACAAACCCCTCTGTTCCACCTCTTAAATGTACCTTTGAAAGATTTATGTAGGTGGGACAAGCAGAGCCAATCAGATTGTGCTGCGGGCAAATCTGAGGGCATTTGCCATCCCTCGGTGCTGGGGGTCGGGGGGGGTAGAGCCTGGGGATTGAAGAGCAGAGTTGCAGTAACCCAATCAGAGCAAAGTCCTTAGTGAGACAGCAGAGGTAGCTGCTCATCCTGCAAGTTCTGTTTGTTGTGGTAACGCTCCTGTCTCGGTTGCTACCCTGGGTCACTGGGATATTGTTAACATGAGGCCCTGGTGATTCCGGAGAGGGGACCCACAATCTGGACACTTGTTTAGCAGCAGGAGTAGCACTGCATGTACACACGTCTTCTCTCCTCCCCCCCGCGCCACACGAGACCGCTGATCAGGCAGACAGTCACTGCCATGTGTTCAGGGGCTGCTTTATAACCTCTGAATCACTTTTTTTTTTTCCATTGGAGCCTCTAACTCGTAGTGAATGGGAAAAGCTGAACTCTCGTCCAGCCGCGGGTTAGAAGGGAGATCAGATCCCTTGCACTAGATCCATGGAAACTGTTTGGAGAGATAGGTGGAGGAGGCTGTGGTTTGCAAGACCCTTTATTCCCATAAGAGCTGTTACGGTAACTCCTAGGATACTGGAACTGACCAGTTACTTGAAACATTCCTTTTTTGGCTGGTTTGTTCATTTGGCAGCACTTTGCATATAGCCAGTTTCATCCTTTCCCCTGTGAAATCAGTTAGTCAGTTTCCCCTCTTTGCCTGGGTGTCTCTGTCCTTTGCTGTTGTGTGAGAGGTTTTAAATAGGAAAATGTGACTGTGACCACAGAGACCGGCTGGGGGAAGAGTTGTTCAGGGACAGTTGGAGCACCCAAAACTACTCCTAACTCAGAGTACCAAGCGCAGTAGGGACCTGACCTTGGGGTTCCTAGGTACTACCATATGGCTACTAAGTAATCTCCTTCAGAACTGACTAGATTTCATTTCAGTTGCATCCCTTTAAAATAGCTTTACATTTTTTAACCTGTTAGCGCCCCTTTAAGAACTTGATGCAGAGCAGCAACAGAATCCGGCAATGAAGTTCTGGGTACAGAGCCAGCACCATCCTCAAAACAAAGCCAGGCAAAGCGCAAGCAGAACAGGCTGAGCCCGGGGCAGAGCCTTGGTGAATTTCACCTGAAGGCTGGTGAAGGGGGAAGAGTCTTGCACCGACACACCTTAAGCCCTGGAGCTTTTTTAAGCCAATGTTGAGAAGAGGCTGTGCCTCCTCCCCATGCCAGGAGGGGCTGCAGCTTGCTGGGGGCTGCATTTCAGAAAAGCAGCACAAGGGGAGGAGCTGACGGCAGAGATTCAGATGTGCCTTTGGGAGGCGGGTGGCGGAGGGGTAGATTGGTTTCAGCCTGTTCTGAGGCGGGATGGCGGGTAAATGCCATCTCTTCCCAAAGTCGCTGATCACGTTGGATGCCCAGACTGAGATGCCTTAAATCTCTGTGGCGTGGACACGGGTCCCCCTCCCCGGTGCTCCCTGAGGGAGGCAGTGCAGTCGCAGAAAAGTTGGGCTTTACTGGTAGCATTCGTCCGAAGACAGCACCCTCCTTCCGACGCGGAGCGGTGGGAACGTTCTGCTGTTTCATTGGTGTGCTTTGCGGAGGTTAGAAAGTGGTATCGTAGGGGGCTGGTGTCTGGCAGACTAGAAAACGTCTAGTGTCAGGTTCATCAGGTGTCCCAGGCCAGCCGGGGATGGGGACAAGCAGCAGGGCGAGATGTGGGAGAGGAATCTAAGGGCTGGGTTCCTTTGATACTGGAATAGGACAAAGGCCACAATCCTGAATAGGCCCCGGTGGGATGGTCTGGACGCCATTACCCCAAGGGCTCTCCTCCATCTCTGATGTCAGCGGCTTTACACCCCCTCAGGAGAGGTGCCGAGGGGCGAAGTAACTTTTTAAAGGCCAAGCCAAGTTGGTGTCACCAGTGGAATTAGAGCCCAGGATATCCTAGGTCCCAGGCTTACAATCAGACCACTCTAGCCCAGCAGACAGGGAAATAGAACGGGAGTCACACTTGAGGCATTGGTTTTGACCTTGGGCAAGGAACCAGTCTCTGTTGCCCTGTCTCTACCGTCAATTGCTAACATCAGTTCAGCTCCACCGTCATTGGGAGCCTAGTGCATGCCAGCCACAGTTGTGGCCACCGCATCAATTAGACCTGCTCTGATCAGGGCTAGACGTTGCGGCGGCTATAGCAGCGCCAGTTTTACAGTAGGGCTGCTCCGGTGGCTATCGCAGGTGGCCTTCCAAACTTCATGGCAGGAGAAAAGTCTCCACTGACGCTGAGAGAGGGCTGGTGTCATCCTTCCTTGAGACTGAAATGGCTTAATCCAGGTAGTTCCCAGCTGACAATGACAGGTTCTGCCTTTCTAGCTCCAGCAGATGGTGCGCAGTGTTGTGGTGGTCACTGATGTACAGTCTGTCTGATGCTCTATCCTTTCTCTCCCTGCAGATGTGCACACCTAGCAATACTCCAGCCACACCTCCCAACTTCCCGGACGCACTAGCTATGTTTTCTAAGCTGCGGACCTCAGAGAACCTACAGAGCAGCAACAGCCCCATCACATCTATGGCCTGCTCTCCACCGGGTAACTTCAGCCCCTTTTGGGCCTCCTCACCTCCCAACCACCAACCCGCCTGGATGCCACCCTCCTCTCCAACCAGCCACAACCTCCACCATCATCTCCACCATCAGCAGCCCATGTGGCCACCCGGCTCTCAGCAAGGAGGCGCCCAGCAGAAAGCTATGGCTGCAATGGATGGGCAGAGATAAGACTGGTTAACATTGAAGTGGGGGGGGGAGGGAAGGCTGGGGGGGGAGGGGAGAACAGAGAAGAGGTGCAGGAGATCAGGGCGGTGGGGGAGGGGGTTCCCGAAGATGGCACTGGAATATTTTATAATTCTTTTTGTAACTCTGCTGGGATGGTTGTCAGCCCATGTGATTTTTCCCTTCCAGAGAGTCAATAACTGGTCTTCTCTTTTTTAATATATAACTATATAATATATAAATATCTAATGTATATAAATCCAGAGAGAATGAGAGCAATGGAAAGAGATTGGGCAATGGAAAGAGACTGGCAGCCCGGTGGGCAATCGCAGGATGGTCACAACACCGCTTGGGTGAAGAGGATATTGCTGGACACAGAGCTTCCCTTGGACAGAGGTGGGCTGGCTCAGAAGCTGTTGCCATTGGCTTCACTCTCCCCCCCCCCCCCCCCATTTTTTGGCTGCTGCTGGGGTGCCGCTAGATGAGACGGGGTTGGCCGTCAGAAGGCTGTATGACTCGGACCCATGGCTTGCCTGAAATCTGCTCTTACAAAGTGAGGGTGGAGGGGGAGATGTGGCCGCTGTTGGAAAGCATCCTGCGCGGGGATGGAACGTGCCACTTGAACCCGGAACTCCCGTGCTGCAGGAACGTGATTGGGGAAGGAGATGCATGGCTGCACATTCAGCTTCCCTGCCAGAACAACTTGGACCAGGAGGAGCATGGCACGTTGCTGACACCTCTCCCCTCTCGGTAACACCAGGCTGCGTTTTGGCAGGCTTGGGGAACGGGCGTCGGAAGCTCCCAATGGACAGTGTGACTCTGAGATCCTAGGTAGACCAGTCCACTGTAGGTCAGCGAGAGGATTGTGGGATGGAGCTGGGAGTCTGGATTTCCTGGACATCCTTGCTGGGCATGGTAAAGCCCTCCTCCTTTGGCCTCTGTTGAAAATCATCCAAGTCTGCGGCATGTGCCCCGAAAACAAGCCAGCCTGGGATTCGTGCCAATTAAATCTCACCATGCCCAGGCCCTGGGATGCACCCTTTTGCCCCCCTCGCCCTGGGGAACAGTTGGTCTCCTCCTCCCTCCTGCACTGGCTCTGTTCCTACACCAGACAATGCTCAGCATGGGGAGGCCGAGCTGGAAGGGCAGTTGTGCAAACTGTAAAGGACCATCCTCCCCCGCTCGGCTTGGCAGCAGGGGCCAAGGGCTCCTTTCAGCCAGGGCAACAGGGAGGGGCTGCGGCTTTTGGGTTTTAGTTTCCAAATCAGAAACTTGCTTAAACAGGTTGAAGGTTTTTTATTAATTTAAAAATTAAAAAAAAAAAAATCACTTTTTTAACCTAACGGCTCCCTGCCTTTTCTCTGCGCTGCTGCTGGGTAGCTAAAAACAACCCAGTGCCCCGATAATGGTGAGCTCCACACGGGAGGCAATGAAGGAGGCCAAGGGGCTCTTTCCCCCCACTCCCCCCTTTTCCTGTGCACTCTGGTCTGGATTCTCACTCACACCAGTCTGGCAGTGTAAAGGGGCCTTGGGGTGGCTGAAAGCGTACTACTGCCTCTTTGCACTGCATCCCTCTGGCCAAGGGGTGTTAGGCTGGGTCTAGGCACAGATTTTTGTACTGACGTAACTGTCTGATTTAAGAACGTAGGAACAGCCATACTGGGTCAGACCAGTGGTCCATCTAGCCCAGTATCCTGTCTTCTGATAGTGGCCAATGCCAGGTGCCCCAGAGGGAATGAACAGAACAGGCAATCATCGAGTGATCCATCCCCTGTTGCCCATTCCCAGCTTCTGGCAAACAGAGGCTAGGGACACTTCAGAGCATGGTTTTGCATTTTCTACTGAATTGGTGCAACGCCTAGTGTGGACACAGTTATAAAGGTGCCTAGCACCGTTCTCCTAATATACTGGCATACGCTGTACCTCACGCCAGTATAGCAGCATTGTGCTGTTCCCCGAGACTGGTTTCAAACACGTGGCTAAAGTGCTGCATCAACAAGGTGCAGCTGCAGCCTTTGCCTGGCTGAGAATTCTGCCCCCCCCCCCCCCCCCCACTTTGTCCTCTTGATCTCACTTGAACTCCAAAGCCGCTATTCTGTTTGTAGCAGCCAGCGGTGACTAAGGATTTTCCTGAGCCTCTTCAAGGCAGGGCTTGAAAAGTTTGCCAGCTGCCTGCGAGCCAGAGGCAGGTATGAAAGGCAACGCCCTGATGAAACGGACAGCCGGGAAAAGGGATGGGGCTGGGCTTCTTGCCAGGGGCCCGTCTCAACCCTCTACAGAGGATCCCTCTTTTGTGTTCGTCTCTGGCAAGTGGGAGTATGGAGACAGGCTAAGTCTACGCCTCTTGGACTGATAGAAGTGGAAAAACAGCTCTTTCCCACCCCTCTTCTCCCTTTGCCCCCAAACCCTGGCTGCTGGGAAGGGGAGGGCTCCTTGTCCACTCTGCCGCTCCCTCAGTGTCCCCCCGCACTGGCCTCCCCTGCCACCGCACTCAGCTTTCCCCACCACTGGTTCAGATTCTTGTCCTTTTGCTAGCCATAGCATCAGTGAGGCTTAGCCCCACTAGCTAGAACAGCAGCACCCAAGCTGCCTGCGGCCTCAGGAAGCCGGCATCATGTCCGTTTTACTGGGGGAAAGTTCGTAGCAAACAGGAAGCTTAAATTCTGCAGAAGTGCTAGTTCAAGTGCTCACACCCTGTCCCGGAGCCTAGCTGATCCAATGGTGAAGGGAGGAGATGGGGGCTGGTCACTAAAGCAAAAGACTAAGCGAGGTGCTACTGTAGAGATGGCTCAGAGGTGCTCCGTGACAATGAGGAGCAGCACGTGCTCAGTGTCTCTAGGAACAAGTCTTAGCAGAGTAAACAAGTTAGAATTGGACATCATTGGCTCATATGCAGTGGGGCTGGGGGAGCCTGGCCTGGTGGGAGGGACTCCTGGGTCCAGCATCCCCACCTGAAACCTATGGCAGGCCAGTCTGTAAGATGGGCCTCAAGCCCCAGTCTGTTTCAATGAGATGCTGCACATGTGCACGCTGAGGAGGAGGATGAAGGTTGATAATGTAGAAGCCTTCCTGTTTTTTCCTACGGGGGAGTCACCTGAGTTGGAGGGGCCAATTTGGGGCCCTCTGTCAGCTCCCTGGAAAGGGTGGGTAATCTGGGCCACCAAGATCCTGGGCCACGGACAGAGATTTTTCCACACAGCTGCTCCATGGGGTTAGAAAGGAAGACCACCATATGCCCTTCAGAAGAGAGGGGATATGGGCAGGGGGGTGATTTGTGGCTAGTGCTGCCCCACTTCCTCCCCTCCCCCAAGGAATCTTTCCCCTCCATGGTTCACAACCAAACCCTGAGCAGGCCCATCGCCCTGGTCCGCAGGCCGCTGAGCTGAATTGTAAGAAAGTGTAGAGTGCAGAGAGCTAGCTGCGCAACTGCGGGAAACATCACACGACTCACGTTTCCTGAAAGCTGCCAGGAGCGACTCGGGAACTGCTGGGAAATAACTCCATGGGAGGGTCGAGCCAGCTATTGTTTGCTGGGAGTTTGGCTTCTGAATTCCTACTCTTGCTCTTTAATTGGGCAAAATCTTGAAACTGAAAAGCTTTTCACCGAGGGCTGTAAAAACCAACAATCTGGGGGTAGGAAAGTTCCACTAAAATCCATAAGGGTGTAAATGGGAGGCAAGTTCAAATTACAGTCGGACTTTCGCTTCTCTGGCCCTGGCTCTAAGTGAGTCCCTTGTTTCCTCCAGAGGCGGGATCCGAATTCAGAGATTTGTGCATTCCCTGCAATTAAGCCCCTTCCACCAGGCAATGGACCAGCCTAGCGCGAAAAGTGGTGCTAGCATAATTCATCACTATGGCTAAAGTTCACCTCTGTGGAGAGGGCCAGCCCAAGGCCTATGGACTGCCCAAAGCAAACTTATTTGTCTAGAGGCCCCAACCCAGACTGCTGCCCAGCACAGTGGGGTCCGGTACACGACTCATCCTGCCTCCTAGAATTTACTACAATCCATGCAAAAGATCAAAGTAAATTGCCAGCATGTTACAAAATTCCGTTCCTTTTTCCAAGGAGCCACTCCCACTTTCCCATACGAGTAACATACACGAAGGCATCACTCACTCCAAGAAGCCCCATGTTCGTTACAGTACTGTCTAGCTGAAAATCTAGATGCACAAACTCTACGTCCGTTCTACAGCACCTGTATTGCAAGCACCTGCCAGCTAAGTCATGGCTCTGCGCAAGTTCTTGCACCAACGCACTCAGCATCAGAATACATTCACTGCCCTCCATGCCGCTGGTGCCCCTCTGCATGCATGTCCCCTGGACTCTGTCCCCCACTGAGTTCCTAGAGCAAACGGGGGTAACCACGACTCCCTCGGCGCCTGTTTGCATTGGGATAAAAAGCCATGTGTGTTGTCACCAATTCAGCTAGCACACGACCACGTGGGGCTAGAAACATGGTTGGCCTTGCAGTGTCTTTGAGGGGCTTTGGGGTGGGGGAGCCGTAGGAAGCAGAAAATGAAAACGGCAGATATGTTTGGGGAACAATGCTGAAGATAGCCCTCCAGAAAGTCAGCCAGCATGTAGCAGAGGAGTGAGGCAGCCAGTGCCCCAGACTGCTGAGAGATTAAGCCCCGATAGTCAGTGATCCCTTCATTGCTGTCACTAAATACGCTGTTCACTGCAGAGGCTCAGCAACGTGGGTCTTGCTTGCCAGTTCAGCCCTGCTATCCTGTGTCACCGGTGTCTGGTGTGTGTCCCGCCAGGGGGACTGTCAGGCTTTTGATACAGGTGAAAACTGTTTTGTTGCATCCACTCCTGCCCATTTCTGAAGGCGTCAGTCCCCCTGCACCAGAGGAGAACGTGTCCTAGGAGCTGCACATGAGCCGTTCCTGCTGGCGTGAAGCACAAGGCTGACTTGCATGTTTGCAATTTAATGCTGGTGAAGGGTGCTGGATTGACGGCCTAGGAAAATGAATTCCTTGATCCATGCAGAGCCAAATTTTTCAGGCGAGCCCTGCACCCAGTGTGCTGAGCTCCTTTGAAAA